ATAAAAATCAAACTGAATTAAATCAGAGCGATGTTTGCATGCAGGAAGCACGCAGCCCTTCAAAGGCAAACTTCCCTTTGATGCACTGGACGGAATTTCACAGAGCATATGTAATAAGGCTGAAGGGGATGTTAAGAATTGGTAGGATCATTGGTAGGTTCATCCGTAAGCCTGAGACATAAAGGTCTTCCCTCATATTTGGGCAGCAGGTGTAGACATGGCAGCATGGCTCTAGATGGCCACAGTGGTGATCCCATGTGGAGCACCCAGCGCTCAGACTCTTCCAGTACTTGTGCCGTGCCTGTTTCTACAGCAGAGTTGTCAGCTGGGGTGCTCGTTCAATGTGCACACTTGTCCCTGCCACTGGAAACATGTCACCTGCTGCAAACTTGGACTTCACATTCACAAGGGACCATCTGTATTTCTGGGATAGAGAGAGTGGGTAGATCTTTGTTCATTTGATGAACTTTGGCAGAACTACCCAAGTGAGGTGTTTCTCAGCGCCTATGAAGTCTCTGAGGCAGAGCATCTGGCTCCAAAGGCCTTGCAAACTTTATAGCATGGGAAGGGACTGAAGGAGGCAATTCCTGTTAATGTGAACCTATCTGCACAAAGCATTAATAAGTGCTGTAGCCTGAATCCCAGGACATTCATGAATTCCACTTAGCAGCTACTCATATAGCATTAAACAGTTCTATTAGCAGGTTGCTATCAAAACAGAGGGGTAGGGCTTGGTAGCTGGACCACCTTCTGCCCAGACTCTCTGAAATCAGAGAGCACGGAGGATGCTGTCAGCTTACCACAACTTTTTTGGAAAGGAGAGGCAGTAAACACCGTGAAGAGGAGCAACAAAGCATTCACACCACAGGATAAATGCCTGCCACTAAGAGCTCCCGTGTTGAGTTCCAGCATCCATTCCATCCATCCTGTTTTTCTTCTCCAAGCTTTCTTTTCAGCTCAGCTTTTTTCCATGTGAGTAGCTCCAATCTGTCCAGGATTTGGTCCTATTTTTAGCTGTCCACAACGCACGAGAAGCATGAGATTCTAGGTACTGAGATATTAGAGATTTGTTGCATCAGATCTTGCTGAAGTACAACTGCCTCTGGAGTTTCTAATTCAGATCAACTTCATGTCTTTAATTGCATGGGGCATTTGTGAGGTTCATAAAATCAGTGTTCAGGCAAATGTACCCTTTTGGGGCAGATTTGGCAGAATCATATTTTTTTAGTTCAAGTTAAGTACTGTTCACTCATTTATAGCCTTACATAGTTCCTTAGATATCATAATTTTCTTGGAAGGGAATGTCTGCTAGTGCTAACGTGCTTGGAAAGCCCATAAAAACTGGAGGTAGAGGCAGCCTGTATAACTTGCATTTGCTAACAGTTCACTCTGGGTTTCCCTAATGTGGCAGATTTACAGGGGTCACATTTCCACCTGGATGGGTTTGCCCATGAATAATTCTCCTCTGTCCTGTGTACAAGCATGATTTTCCTACAACACCCATATATTTCTTTGTCCCAATTCCCTCTTGTCTCTCTGGTATTTTTCTTCACACAACACTGTGGCCAAGGCAACAGAGAGAAAATCTTTCTATGAACATGCATGTTACTTCCTGAGCCTTGTATGTCTTTTCTTGGGGGCAGGGCTCAAGCAGGATTTTAGCTAGTGGTGATGATGGTGCAGTTTAAGGTTGATTTGGTACAATTACATACCTCATCTTTTCATTGTTCAGACCAACAGGGGTTGGAAGTGCCCAAGCAGATGTCAATACCCTGATGACATTGGTGATACGAGAGGCAGCACCCAGTAGTTGCCCTATAGCCAATGTCACAGTGTACCTACTGTGTGCTGTGGGGTGGCAGGACCCAGGGCGGCTTGGGCAGCAGCAGCCACATGGTTGGCGTGCCCCCACACCAGCCCCTGCGGGAATTTCTGCATCCCTGGACAAGCAGTGAGGGAGAGCTGGTGGTTATCCCATTGGGAATCCCTGCACAGAGGCAGGTTAAATGTCAGGCAGAGGCAGTGCTGGGGATTCTGCACAGGCTGCAATGACATCCTGTCCCCAACATTGATCACTTCCCCAATTTTCAAGGATCTCTCAAAATGCAGACAGAAATCAATTAACAAAGTCCTGGTCTGCGAGAAAGAAACTGTTGGCTCAGCTCTAACCCGTCTTTTGGATAGACCTATTTTTCCTGTTTCCCATTTGGGTTTACTTGTTTTTACCCTTTGAGATTAATCATCATAAGGTACTCACTGCTTGTGTCACACCAGAGGTCTCTTTACAGGCAAGGTGCTCCAGGCTGCCTGTGCATTGCTACTGTACTCTGCACGCTCCCTCTTTTGTCCTGCAGTGAGGGGAAGCAAGGCTTGTAAAACCCTGCTCTCTCCCAGTCACTCCTGCCAGTTCACATCTCCGGTGCTAAAATTCCCATCCATTTTTCCAGCAGAGCAGGTTAAGGAAAGGTATGGAAACATTGTTACCAGGGGAGAACTGAAGCTAACAAAAATATGCTGGCTGTATGTTTGCATATATAAACATATTTTTGCTTCAAAGAGAAGCATCTTCTCCAGTCTTGGTCACCAAATGGCAAGACTTTAATCTATTTGTCTCTTCAAGTAGGTAAAAGAGTCAGTATTTAATGAAGAATGTAGCAAATGTGTTCAAGGTAGTAGATAAAAGAACACTCCTAAGCACGTGTGAGTATTTCGGAAAGCTTATGTAACATTTCCTTTGCAAAATAAACATATACATACAGCCCTGTTTCCAAAATGTCACCGAGAATATCATCACTTGCAAATGCTTTTGGAAAAGAGGCTGCCAAATTGCTAAATATATTCTGGGCTTTGAATAGACATTTCATACTGTTTCCTTTCTACCCTAATGGATCTTTTCTTAGCCCTCTCACGGAAATTTGAAGACCTGTCTGAGGATAGCATCCCACTGGCTTAGGTGCCTGCAGCAGTAATTGGACTTGCCTCCCCACTTTACAGACCTGGGTGCCGTGCCAGGGGAAGCTTATGATGCTGCTTGCTCTCCACTTGCTGCTAACCCCTCGATGAACTTGTACTGTGGTGGAAGGAGGAGAAGAAGGAGAAACAGGGGTACAACCAAGGGGATGGGAGGAGCTGTGAGACCACTGAGACAAGGTCTGTACCACATGTAGGGATAGGCGCCCGGGGCCAGCCTGACACCTGGCCTGTGCCAAGGCCCAGAGGTGCAAAAATCAGCTGACATAGTGGTTTTTCAGAGACTCGTTCTTTAAAAATTCAGAAGGCTTTTTTATACGCTGTTTTGCCTCAGTGACGAATGGCCATCTGTTTGTAAATTAGGGCAGATACCAAGGATGTATCATTTCAAGGTTTTACACTTCAGCTGAAAGACTTTAAAAATGCAACAAAGAGGAAATAGTGAAATTCATGACAAGTTAACATACACAGTGCATACAAACCTCTACCCTAACCATCCATTGCTCTTTCCCAAGGATATTAGGGGCAGACTGCTGGGTTTTCTAAGATCAGACACACGGGAGCTATCTACTGGTGGTCAGAGATATCTCTGACTTTTTAATTGGTCAGATAAAGTAAGGAGGAAAAGCCAAGACAGATGCACAAAACCCCTCTGAGGAGGCAGAACTACTCACACTACATCCCTGCCTTTAATATTTCATCTTTCCCTTACTTACATGATTCCACTCATTTGCAGAAATGATGGTGCAAACAGAGGGCAGATGCCCACATCAATCTCAACAAAGGGATCGCTGAAGCACTATCACATGGATATGCTGAGCCTAAATAACCTGTCCAGGGTAGCTACATAACATGGAACCAAATTCATCATTTACTGCTATTTCAGTCATGTGGCAAGAGCCACTGCCACCAAGTTATGGAAGCAGCACATCAGTTTCTGCCTCCAGGAGGAGAACCAGCCTGGGTTCTCCAGATGAAGAGTAAAACCTTGTTAAAGCTGAAACAACTCCCACTCCAATTCACCACAGGGATGCAAAAACTCTTCTCAGAGAAGAAAAGCGGTAGTTATGAAAAGCTGCACATGACATGGCAGGATCTTTTTTATGCTTCTTTTTTGTGATCAATGTGGGAGAAAATTCACATAGAGTCTGTAACAGCTGGAAAGGCTGGAGATGAGACTGTCGCTCACGAAGTGTAGAAAGACAGGGTTAGAAAGAACCTCCTGGGTGACCAGGAGTAGCCCCTTGCTGTTGAAGACACCATACTTAATGGGGATACACAAACACGACAGCTGTATCAAACCACCACCATTCACGCACGTACACCTTCTGCTCCTGCCTGGCAGGGATCCTCCACAACCTCCTCCTCCTCTCAGGATCAGTACGATCAGTACACTTTCTCTCCTTCTCCAGCTCAGATTTATTTATAGCCTACTTGCACCCATTTGTTCTTGAGCCAGTGCCGTCCATTAGTGCAATTAGTGGTTCCTCCTTGTTGCTCACGGCTTTCTGGAGCACGACGGCATGCCCCGGGCTGTCCCAGTGGGCTGTGAGCCTGTGCTGCCGTGGGACACCCACACGCACACCCGCAACAACCCGCTGCCTGCCCTCAGGTAGGGACCCCCCCGCGGGAGGGCTCTGTGGAGAGCGGTGTGGTGAATTGTGGGGAGGGGACGATAGCCCTGGGACAGCGCACCGCCCTCACTGCCCCGGGGCCCTAGAGCAGCTCCCCGGTGCCGTGCCCCCGCACCGCCCCATTCCCGGGACCCCGCAGCTCCCCAGAGCCCCTCGCGCCTCCCGCCTCAGCGGAACGTGCACGCGCGGCACCACCGCGCGCGCCCCAGACCCCACCGCCGCCTGCTCGCGACCACCCGAGCCCGCCGGCCGCGCATGCGCGGTACTCCCTCCCCCGCCGCCTGCAGACCCCGCCTGTGCAGAGCGGGGCCCGCGGGGGGGGGCGTGGTCTGTGAGGGCGTTTCCCACGGGGGCGTGTCCCGCCCTGGGGGGCGTGTCCCGGCGCGGCGCGCCCTGTCCATGGTGCGGGTGTCCCCGCGGCTCCCGGGAGCGCGGCGGCGCGGGGCTGCATGGACGTGATGTCCCCGCAACAGGAGCACCTCGGCCCGGGCCGCTCGTCCTCGGTGAGCGGCGAGGGCAGGGGCTTCGCCGCCGCCGCCGACAGCAAGAAGGTGAGGCCGCCCCCGGAGACCGCACGGGAAAGCGCTGCCCGACCCTCGCCACGGCCCCGGAGCCCCCCGCGGGGGACACTGCCGGGCAGCGCGGCCCCATCGGGCGCTCCATCGCCGCGCCATCGCCCTCGGGTCCTGCACGCCGCCGGCGGGACCGGGACTGCCGGGGGAACCGCCGGGGGAGCCGGGGCTGTCTGCGGGAAGGGCTTGTGCACGGGTGCCCGGGGAACTGGAGGTGCGGCGGTGCCCAGTGGGGCTCGCGGGCTCTCCCGGGTCGATAACCTCCAGGACCTCAGCGGGGTTGCTGCATGCATGTCCCGGCGGCAAAGGGAGGCTGCTGCCTGGATGTCCGGGGTAGGTGAGGAGCGCCACTGCACAGCTGTCCCGGGGAGCTCGGGAAGGGTTTGCTGGATGGTGTTCGGTGGAGCCAGGGGGCTTTGCTGCATGGATTTCCCGGTGATCGGGCGCGGGGGATGTTGCTGCATGGATGTGCTGGGGCGATAAGGGTATTTGCTGCATGGATGTCCTGGGGAGACCTAAAGGGAGCTTTGCTGGATGGATGTCTGGAGGTTTTGCTGGGGAAAGGTTTGCAGAACGGTTATCCAGGCGATCTAAGAGCGATCTGCTGCGTTTATGCCTGGGGAGAGCAAGGGAAGGGTTTGCTAGAGATGAGCAGGTTTGCTGGCTGCTCTCACACGTGCTTTGTGCAAGAGAGATATAAGAGGCTTCCTCAAGAAGCGCCTTGTGCTAAGTATAACACAAATGATGGCAGAAGAGCTTCATCCCATCTTCAAAACTGGTTGCAAAATCTGTTTGATGTCACTTTTCAGCATCTGACACGACTGAGTGCAAAATGCTCCCTTCTGTGTACAGCCAAGCACTTGTTTCTGCCTTATACTTAGCTGTAATGACCAAGCTGTAATAACCACATTCTTCCCACTGTATAAAACAGGAATTCTTCTTTTCTCTTTGATTTAGCAAGTGCTGTAGTGTTTTTCTATCCAAAGAAGAGCTGGTGCTTTCCTACCTTACCAATTTTGCCTCACAATGGCATTTAAATCCATGCACTGCCTTGTCTTTAGAGGTACACTTCAGAGGACTGCCAAATAGGCTGGTAGGATTAGAATGACTGGCCAGGCTACAGTGTCCTTTACTAAATCTGTCAATCTGGTGAATTTAGGATGCATGGTATTAGAGGCTGAGGTTGTGTCCAGTCCTGTGGCTAAGCAGTCTTTGGGACTTTGCTGGCTATGGCACAGTGGTGCAGGAAGGAATCCTGATCCCTCTCCTGCTGATGTGACTCTTAAGGTTGGGAAGTGTTGCTCTGTTTCCATGGGTTGTGTCCATGTGTGCCGTGTCCCACCAAGACACAAAGCACTACAGCCTGACTGCAGCCCTGGGGACCTCTTCTTATGACAGCTGCTGTCAGTGGTGAGATGGTTGTCTGGAGAGAGTTTGGCCAAGACTTCTACTACACTGCAGTTAATACCTGATTGGTTTTTGAGGTGGGTGTGTGATACACCTACACAGAGTGGTGGAGTACCTTCTGCTGCCTGGGTGGGCAAAATGGTACAGTAGATAATCACCCTCTGCAAGTACTGTGATCTAATTTTTGATGGTTAAATGTACGACTTTGATTTTTATCAACCATTTCTTTCGTTTTTGCTGAAGACAGAGTACCATGTACCTTCCAACCTGGCAGAGCCCTGATGCTAGGCACCCACCTGAAATGAGAAGTTATGTTCAACTACTGTGAAGATGAACACTTTTTTCTTACAAGTTCTACTTCATAATTCAGCACTCTGAGGACAAATATTAATGATAGCACTTGTGTTTCCTATTCCTGCTCCAAAGAGCCCACAGTCAAAGGAATGCAGACCTTGTTTTTGCCAGCGCTGACAAGAGAGCGGGGATATTACTTTTTACAGATCTTGGCAGCCCTTTTGGAATTCCTCAGCTTGGAGGCACATGCAACAAGGGTACAGATGGAGATCCTCCTGTGGAGAAGCAGCTTGAGACCCTGGCTGGGCCATGCAGCATATGGCAGCTTTGCACACCATGCACAGCTGACACAGGCAGCCACCAACATCCAGCCAACTGCTCAGCTGCTTGTCCACGGTCGTGGTGCTCCCTTAAGACTACTAGCACACCACCTCTTTGTGCCTCTCTGTGGACGAAGATTCCTACCTTTATGCATGCACAGCAGTGGGCTGTTCCTAATTTTACCTGAAGCTGGATCTCAGAGACAGTTCAAATATTTCTCTATATATACCTCTCTTTTGTCTTCCTCATCAAGTTTTTTTACAATATGGAAAGTCTTTCTTGCTACCAGGGAACTTACATTATTTGTATTGGTTGCATACAGTTAAATGGAAGAATGTGATGGCAAGAAATCAGTTTTGATACTGGTAATACAGCAATTTGGTTGCAAATACGTGTTTAACATCAATTATTTTGCTTTCTGGCAAAAAATATCCCCAAATATGTGACACTAAGCGACTACTGAACCCTTCTGCCTTTTTATTATCCTGAGTACACCTTTCTCAAGTTAGCTGAGATTTGCTACATTGTTCTCTGGTTTTTGAACTCCTACTTCATCTGCTGCTTGGCTGTCAAAATGAAGCTGAAAGATCACGTTCTTGATCACACCATCGAACCAGAAGAGAGATAGAAAATATCTAGGGTTTTTTTCATGTATTTTGTATGACTATTTAAACTAATTTCCTGGAACCATTTCTTTTCCTGTTCTTGGCATGCGAAATGGTTTGCACTGCTAACCTACCTCACAGGCAGTGGGAGGTTCTCTCTATTAAATGCTTACAATGCACTCAAGGCACCCTGCTAAAAGGTGACATTGAAGTGCAGTGTTTTAGTTAATGCTTTCAGAAAATTCTGGACTAGATTCCCTCCTTTACGGGACTTACTGGAGACACTGGAGTATGTGTGATTGACCTGCAGAGGAGTTTTGTATTGACTGTTTAACTTAGTAACCAATACCAGTAAACTGATACAACTCTGAAGTGGATTGAAGTAACACGAGTAAAAGTGATTATACAGATAGAGCTTATTTCTACAAATTTATCAAAACAAACTATGCAGCAGAGATGTCTTTTATGCCAGTGTAGCCATGTCAGCAGTAGCAGCTGTGGTCATTTAACCATATTTATAAGATCCTGATGTTTCACTTCTCTCTTCTTAGAAGCGCTAGATTCCAATCAACCCTTTACACAAAACAGTATCTGGCAGCAGGAGTCACTCTCAGGATTTTTGCTGATGTTTTCAAGTAATTGCTTAAAATGTTTTGGGGGCTCAGCAATTTTTAATATTTGCTCCTACAATATATGCAAAAAATGATGGTTTTGCTCACCTAGCAAATTAGTATTTATGGTCTGAGACTTGAAATAAGGTTTTCCATCACCATAAAAATATGTTTCTTTGTGATTCTGATCACAAATACAGCAACAGTTTACTGGCAGGGAGAGTTATAGTGTCCCCCAACAGGGTGCTAAATGGATAAAATTCTGACAAATTATGGGCATTGAAAGGGCAATGCTAGTCAGACATAATCCTCATCCCTTTACTTGTCTTACTCTGCAAAAAAAGTAAGTCTTTCCCATTGTATTTGATGATACCTTGATCTCATGTTAGCTGATCTCATGCCCCCATATATATGTTTTTTAACATAAAGCTTGTTAAGCAGAGGTTTCTTCTTCCTGCAAGACTCTATCCTGTTTACTATGATCCTGGCTAAGGATCTGTTGGGTTGCTTCCAAAATCACACCTGGTAGTGCTGGAAATCTCAGATGTCCAGGAACACTTCTGACACTCTTTAGTGAAGTGATGGACAATTCCTGTCAGACCACAGATATATCCTGCAGTGGTTTTATCTCTGATGAGGACCGAAAGAGACTCTTATTTAATGAAATCATACGCCTAGTTGGTCCTTAGGTTAAAATCACCTTGGTGGGCTGTGCTGGATTACGGTAACTTACTGTTGTGATGTGCCTCCTGATACTGCTTTAATTACTAACTAGTGTTAGCACTCCTTCTCCTGTCTGTCCATGAGAGAAATGAAAATTACGCATAAAACAATGTGTTCTAGTTCTTGGTTTTCCAAGCCTTGGGTGTTTTTTGTCCCTCATGGTGGCAGTAGGAAAGAGAGGGGCTTGACAGGTCATGTGGTATCTAATACTCAAGAACTGCAGATATCAAATTTATTTGTTATCAAATTTTTTATCAAATTATTGCCTGTTTACTTAATTTTGCTTGAAGTATCCATATGGAATGGGGGGAATCTCCTCTCTCTGTTATCTGTAAACTGCTCCTGAGAAAGCCTTGCTGTGCAGAAACTGGGGCAGAATTGTGTCTATGTGTTAACCTTCCTGCTTTGTGTCAGGATTGAAAGGAAACTTTGGGCTTCATCAAAACCACCACAGAGTCAGTGATCTGAGCACTATGAGCCCAGTGATCTGACCATAGGACCCAGAAGCAAAATATTCAATGCTTTCCTCGTCTACATTTTTACTGGTCTTCCACATCTCCATCTTGTGACGTAGATGGATGAGATCTTTTGAAGACACGCCTATCAGTGCTTCCAAAGATGTGTATCCTTTGGGAAGCAGTTGCAGAACATGTCTTGCTCTTAGTTTCTGTTATCCATTTTTCTTTCTACTCTGAGATGATCTTCCATCTTCATCTTTTCTTCACTCTCTAGCAGCTGCTGTTCCACAATCATGTGCTTTTGCTTCCACTGTATTGATAGCTCTTTCCTCTTGTGACCCTGCAATTATTTTTTCCTCAATCATCCATCCAAAAATGGCTTTCTTTTTAGGAAAGTCCTTGTAAGTAGAACTATTCTGCCAGCATAAACAAAAGCACATAGTTTTGTCACCTCCTCTGGCTTTATGGTAAATGGTCTCTCTGTGGGACCTCCATCTCAGCTGCCTGAGCCAGCAGTTCAAATGCAGTCATCTTCTCACCCTGTTTATGAGGGCCCAAGA